ACACACACGTAAGAGTATTGAGAATACGACAGGAAAGGAAATAATGTTGATGCTCACGAATTACGTTAAAACTTGGGCAGAAAATTAAAAAACTTGATATATTTCGCTCATGTCCAAGAGAATCAAAAAGGCGCTTTAATTAACTCTGATGATAATTAATTGCAATGGAATCATCTAGGTCACGCACATCACATACCGCGGGAAATCGTTCTGGTTCATTTTTAGAGTTTAGAGAATGTCCAACATTTAATTCTGCAGGCAAAGCATGCAGAAAAATGCGCATCGTTCAATCGTTTATTCCCTCAATGTATCGTTAAATCCTGCATGACACGATACCTTTTATCGCGGCCGATCGATAACTATACCATATTATAGTTATATACATATATTGTACAATATATCTCGGCTGATGAAATCTCAATTCTGTGAAATATTCTTTCGCGCGACATTACATCACGGCAAATCCCGCAAATCCTGCAAATCCCGCGGTGCGTCAGCTGAGTAGTCATCACGCCTGCAGACTCCAGAGAGATCAATGTCGCCAAAGATTAATTTCGCCCTGTTTCAGGAGCAGGAGAGTCTGGCAAAAGCACGATCGTCAAACAGATGAGGATACTGCACGTCAATGGTTTCAGTGAGGCGTAAGTTTCGTCTTAAAATTACTTGAAAAATTACTTGGTGCGGCGCAGCGCGATCGTTTAGATTACACGGCGATCTCCATCCACTGCATTTATACCAATCCAATCCGCTTATTCCATGTGTCGTTAAAGGAGAAGGACCGTAATCTCTTCTTTGTTTCCATCTCGTAGCTTTTCATCGCGAAGCTCGCGTTACAATTAAATGTCAGCGAAATGCGAGATCGTACGTACTCTCTGCTACTCACGCAAGTCGTTTACGAAAATTTATACGTGGTTATACGTTTATTGAATTTTCCCGGAGCATCTCTTGACTCTTTCACTCTTCACTTCACACCTACAACTCGAATCTTCGAATCTCGCGAGACGATTTTCGAGAGAGACAGTCATCACACAACTTGCTATATATGGCTACTGAGAGCATGTTGATGCATTCTATTTTTACTATCCTTTTAATTGTGGCCAATGGCGACGCGTTAATCTTTCTTCTTACAATTTTTCTTTCGACTTTTTTTGAATCGCAAATTGTAGCGTAATGAATTTTTTAGCGCGCGACGTTGGGCGTTCTGCACGAATGATTCATCTCATAACCGGTTCAGACTGCTACAGTATTAACTACAAGTATATATCAACATGTAGCTGATACGGATCCGTCATTACTATTTCCTTTACTATTTTCCAAGTATGCGACGACGCATTCATCGCATTATGTTTATATTATTCTTCACTATCGCTAGCTTCACTCTTTTTCTCAATCTTCTTCATCATTATCTTCGAAATGCATTCACTGGAATTACTTACCTTCTTTTATAGATATATTAACGCTTTTCTTGTATTTTCAATAAAACGAAAGGAACGTTTATTTTTTTTTTTTTAAGCAGCATTCTAGATGATTTATCTTTTTCCTTGAATTCGATATGATTCCATTTCTCTTTTCTCATTTTTATATCATTTTAGTCCATTTTTTTAGCCCGCTAACGATAGTTATCTCATGCGGTTACTTTTCTCGTAATTTTACTTGATTTCCGTCATCTTTCACTGATCCGTTTTAAATATTTTCTCTGTCTTGGAGCCTCGTTATCATAATTCAATAATTCATTCTTTTGCACGGATGTTGGTGATACATAAGTATATATTGGATTGGCAAGAAAGTATTTGCGTTTTTTTAGTTCAAAGTTGTATATACTATATCTTCGTCAATAATGAATGAAATTTAAATTTAAAAAAGTTTTTTAAAGCTTGAAATTTCTACTTTTAAAAGCTTATCACATTTTTTAAGTTTATATGAATTTGGTAATGGAATTTTTTCATACTAAAAACTACGAGCTGAAAAAGACGGAAAATTTTCTTCTCACTTTGTGGGTTTGTAACGTTGAGGGTGTGCCCAAAACAAATTCGAAAAAATTTTCGACTACCTATCGTGAAAGCTTGATACTTTCCCTACAAAATCGTTTTTTTTTTAAATATTCCTATAATTTTTGGTTACTGAATTATTGCGGATTAAGTAAAAGAATTTTGATTTTAATTGCTCATAACTCCGTTAAAAATTGTTGTATCGCAATTTAAAAAAGAGATTTTTAAAACTGAAACTTTATTCTATGAAGATATATTTATATTGATTGGTAAGAAAGTAATTTTTATTGATAGATGCCTTTTAAAAAAACGCAATTACTTTCTTGCCAACTCAATATATTCTTGACAATTTTTACGCATGCATGTACAAGTTCTATTCTGTGTCTAAACTAAATTCGGTGACAACTGTGAAGTAGGTAGAAGAATAGAAGAACGTCTTTCATTTTTACATTTCACTTTGCAACTTTTTTCTCAATCTGACATATACATATGTATACCAATATACCCAAACTTTTTTTGTTTTGCGAGTTTTTAATTTGAATATCTCGAACAAAGAGGATTTATTCTGTTTAGCCGGAATCTTTGAAAACAGACAGTTCCAGAAATACGCATTATTGATTGACCATGAGTTTTCCAGCAAGTTCTTTTAAACGCGTGGTAGTTGGCCGCGCTAAAATTATCGAATTGGTCTGAAAATACCGATATAAAAGAACACACGGTCTTTGCTATCGTTTCATTCAGCTCATGACTCGATCATTATTGCTGGTCGATCTACTCTTACGCTACTATGTCTGTTGTATACAATATGCATTATTAGTCATAATACTTTGTCACATTTAGTTATGCGGTCAACAAGAAATCGGTGTCGGATTTCTAACAACACAACTAACGTCTAAATCTAACATGCATCTTGGTGTTTGCAGGGAAAAGCGGCAGAAAATTGAAGATATTAAGAAGAATATTAGGGACGCCATTTTGGTAAGTATCCTATCAGCCTACATATCTATCTACTTTGGCGTAAAAATTTCACAGACCTATTACATGAGAATTAAAATCAATTGAATAAAGAGAGAGGTTGTGTAATTTGACCAGAGTTTAGTTGAAAAAATTATAGATTATTGCAAGAGCTACTATTCTTTCTTCTACTCTTTTTTTTCTCCTTTTTTTTTTTAGCGATGATCTCATCGATGGTTGAATTCTCGTCAGTGTTGCATCACGAATTCCGTGTTTGCTTCCAAACCAAGTTTTAGTAGACACACAAATCATTGCGCTCAAAATAACACTCGACATAACCGTTACGTGACACGCAAATTTGCGATATCAAATCTAGCTGCAAGAGCATTTTGTCACCGATTTGTCATTCAAACTCATGCTCAATCACATGCTGCGCGTGTGATTCTATTTTTTGACCCCAACTGCTGCTACCCTCAACATTTTTTTTTACATACGAAATTCTTACCAAGTAATTAACAGCGTGATAACATAACACAATTACAGCGAATCAGTAATTATAGTATAATTAATTATACTATATTATTAAGTAATTATAGAAAAATAAAAGTGATTCTATAGCGAAAATGTTATAAATGTGTAATTATAAATGTGATTTTTTTATTTTACTAAAATATTTAATTTAGACCGTAATATTCCTCATCGAAATTAATCAATAATATAATTCTTGTTATATGCAGTTCATATGACTTTTATTATATTAATAATGCACATATGGATGCATATGTGTGATGTTATATGAATAGACATAAGAGGATAACGTAGATGATTAATGATACAAAATGATACAAATAATATTTTATTTTTACAAAAGATTATATTTAATATAGTAACTATATATACATATGAGAAGGTATAAGTTTTAACGTAAACGCATGAATTCTAACAAAATTATTTTAATCTATATATCTATATGGAAAAAATTTTTGATTTAAAGATAAAAAAAGAGAGACATGATGCTTTTTTTTTTGCAGACGATAACCAGTGCGATGAGTACGTTAACGCCGCCCGTTACACTAGGAGACACATCAAATCAGAGCAGAATGGACTATGTCCTGGAAGTCTCGTCTTCCCCAGACTTCGATTATCCTCCGGTGAGTCAGCCACAGCCTATTTGCATTGTAATGTGTTGCGTTGCATTTCCTCGTTGACGGAGATAACGTGAGTATGTAAGAGGGAATCCCCGTGGATCGAAACGGTTGCGCATCACGTAAAATTTGTTTCTAAATGACATGGCTAAGTTCCATCTCATGCTAATTCGGTTCATCAGAAATAGAAAAAGGAAGGCGATTGTTGACCACGCATATACCTACTTTTCCCATCGCGAATTACGCTCGTGCAACATTTAACGAGATGCTTTGTACAATTGTTGGTATCTTGTTCGTTTATCTCAACGCATTCCGCGTTACAATTTTGATTTGACTGCAATTGTCGATAACCCGAGCAATTGTAACACGTATATCCTATAGTTATATTCTCTCGTGAGTTAATTTTCGTGAAATTACAATTTACATTGAAATTACTGCTGATTACAGAAACGGTATATCGCCCAATATACAGGTTTGTTTCTGTCAGTCGCATATAATATGTGACTCTCGTCACATATAAGAATCTATAAATACATTACATAAAGCTTCGCGCAATTAACATGTCATTCTAACGACATTTGTGTGTTGAATCAATTAATTATTTATTATTTAAATATATTGAAATTGATAATTTTTATATATATAACTTTTATACAATTTTATGCACAAGATGAAATAATAAGTTTAATATAATAATTGTTTGTTCGTAATAATATAGATCGTTTCGTCGCATGATATCCTATATACTTGGAAACGGTCCTAATATATTGACTGCAACTCGCCATTACTCGACATCGTTTAGCGCACACCAGGCCGCGCGTAAACGGTAATAATAAGTACACGCGGTGTATAATGGGCGACAACGTCAAAATTTACTTAACGATCATCGCGATGACATTTCTTCGCGTCTCTCTCTCTCTCTCTCTCATATAAAACCGACACCGACGCGACGGACGCACATCTGCGGATTAACGCAATGAGGCACGCAGACGTAAGTATGTACATATACATGTACAGACGTGAGAACCACTGCGTGGCACGATCAGTGTTTACAATGTTTATACAGCCATCGCATATGTTAGTGCGCTGTACAGTGTCCCGTACTATGTGCTGCGCCATTTCTCATGTATGTATGTGTATATGTACGTACGTACATACGATATCTTTCAATGTATCGTGTCGCTCGCAAATTCATACGATCATTATACTCGTAACAGAAATTTATATCGATCGATACGAATTTTCTATTCCTAAGAAATTTCACTGCCAAGCGAAATTTCTCAATAAGGAACGATCCTGCTAGCATTGGTGAAAGATTTATACTTGTAGGTATATACATATATATGTATAATGTATCGTATATCGAATGACATGTCAAGAAAATTTTATCTCATTGAATAAAGTAGGTATTTATTATATCGTTATTTTTTTATTAAAACAATGATTATATTTGACACTATACAGTGTCAATTTAACATTATATAGTATCAAATTTAATTATTATTTTAATGAAAAATAATGATATATTTGATAGGATTAAATTTGACACTATAGATTTAACAGTAGGATGCAATCAAGTTAATTAAACTTCAATTGATTTACATAGTATTGCCTGTATTTAAGGGCAAATTTGAGAGAGAGAGAGAGAGAGAGAGAGAGAGAGAGAGAGAGAGAGAGAGAGAGAGAGAGAGAACGAATTGAAAAGGAGCGTCAGCGACACGGTTCTCGAAATAAAATGATCGCGATCGCGACGAAATAATCCGCACGCGGACGTTTTGCGTCATTCAGCGCGAGTCGCACAAGTCGCATTCAGGCGTGTACAGACGATGCATTACTTTTGCCAGCGCGCGGACTGGCGCGGACGCTAGCGACTAGAGTGGCCCATTATATGTATTTGTTGCACATGGTTGCGTTCACCGTTGCTCGATGATGCATCCGAATTAATTGAATTCAATCGTTTTGCACCGAACGCGATTCGCGAGCTTTCAAAGCCGCGTACGTTTATGCTAACGTGTGATTCGCGCAGTAAGTATTTATGGATTATTCGCAATATTCGCAATAGGCATTACGTTTGTATCGCTAAAGTTCAACATTATATTCTACCGTTCGACGCTTTTCGGCATTATTTTCAGATCGTCACGAGATAATGAGATGAAGAATCTGATTTCAGAATTTAACAAAAAAAAAATTTCATCAAGTTAAGAGAATTTCCATTTAAAAATCCCGAGTATTTTAACGTCTTTAAACGCGTGCCGTTGGCATTTAATCCTTCAATTTATCCTATTCAAACGTGCGAAGAAAATACAACGAGCATCGATACGATTGTATCATGCGTATTGGATGACAAGCTTTTGCATGACAAAGTGCAATTTATTGCATTAATTAAAAAAGAATAAATAAATATTGCATATATCTAGCATATTGGCATTTTTTAGTGGCTGATGAAAGACACCGATTTTACTAATCGCCAATTCTATGAATTCTAGCAGCCGCTTTCTACGACTCGTCTTTAATTTGCCACTGTCTCGACTCTCCATAGAGATGAGAGGAAAGAAGCGAGGATGTTTGGCGGAAATTTATTTTAGGAAAATCCTAGGCCTAATTTCGGCACAGGTTGAAAATACATTGGCATCGTTATGATTATTTTACAAACAATCGACTGCGTACAAATAATTCGTTGCAATAAATTCGATGTAAATGCAAAAATAACGTCAAAAATTGAAATTGGGATGTATGGAGAATGTCGAAATATTCTTTCGAAAATGTCAAGTAATTTCAATACTTCTTTTATATACTTGTACTTGGGTATTTTTTATGTGGGAGAAGTATAATTAAACGAGTGAGTCAGAGTATACATATGCATAATAATAAGTATATACATATTATTTCAAAAGATCGTAATATACCTATGATAAAACATTCAAAGAGGACGATGTATAATAAATATTAAATTAGATATAAATATTGTAATTATATTGTCAATATATAAAAAAGTAACC